CTACATTTTTATCCATCTCTTCATTCTTTCATTCATCTCACCCATCCATCCTTCTATTTCAAACAATCAAAAGGGTCTACAAACCTTCATTCTGCTGTAAGAGGGATCGTATATCCTGAGTGTTGCCTCGTCTGGCCAAACTGTGCAGCGTTTCTTTCTCGCCATCTGCGTCAACTCCAGACTGTAAGAAAAGAATTCAACTTGGCCATTAACCAATCAGAGCGCGCGTTATATCGTTATAATATAGTTTATATTTTCATTATACAGCTATTTGAAAATGATTGAAGGCTCGAACGGCGGTAGGTAATAAGCAATATCTGATAGGTAATAAGTAATAATTGCCAAACATTAGTAACTATTTTTAAATTATACGCTCATATGATATTATTTGAACACATATATATCACCATATTTTTATTTTTCATTTTATATTATTATTATGCGATTTTTAGTCTTTATTAAATTTTTTCCATTGTAAATGTATTGTATATTTTTTATTCAAAAGATGGATAAATAAAGCTATCATTATTAATATTAGATAGGTCATCAGTACCAAGATTCAAAAATTAGCTGGAATGACTGGTATTTCTTATCATTATTAATATTATTATTATTATTATTATTATTATTATTATTATTATTATCAAATAGGAGTTACCATATTGCTATTACTATACACGAGTTCATATTACAAATAAGAACTCCTTTTTAGTGTTGTTTGAATCGTACTAGAGAAAACCACTTAAATCACCTCGGCTATTCGTGTTTAGATATATGCCCACCGTTCCTTTCGGTCGTGCAATCGCCAATAGTCCAGTTTCGAGTTCCAAAATACCGCTGTGTTTCTTGATTACAGACTCATTTACTCAGGCTTAGCCTCGAATCAGTGTCTAAATATTCACAAATACCAACGKTAAAGTAAAGAATGCACAASTTCAACAATACGAACACTTTAAAACTTGACGGACCTTGACTGGAACACGTGAATATTCTTCACAAAATCGAGGCTAAGCCTGAGTAAATGGGTCTGTAATCAATAAACACAGCGGTAATTTGGAACTCGAAAAGGGTCTATTACCGATTACCATATACATTCGCCGTTCGCCCCTTCAATCTATTTTGAAGTATCTGTATATAATGATATAGCCTAATATGTTATGAAAGTGTTTTTTGTCTTTTTCATAAAAGAGACACCATCAAGCCGTCAATAAGAGAGACACCATCAAGCCGTGAATAAGAGAGACACCCGTCGATATCAAGTACCGTATCCAAGTCAATATTCAAGACTGAATAACGTCCAATAACAAAAATGAAGTACAAATTTTATGAAAAAAGACTTGCTTATCTGTTAAACACATGAATGATTGATAGCCTAAAAATGTGGCTTTTGATTCTGGTGAGTGATGCTGAGATCCTAATTGACTAGCTATGAAACCTTAGAGGAAAAAATAAACCTTGTACGAAAAAAAAAAAACTGTACGAAAATGTTAAGCAATTGTGACAGTTTTTACTGCAAGGAAGGGCACGTTTCGAGTTTAAATGATATTTAAAAAGTTTTAATATGACAAGTCTTCTCAATATCGTTAAGTTTGCCTCTTCATTTATTTATTTATTTATACATAAATTCTTTCGCTTTTCCTTCCTTTCCCTCTTGAATTTTCATTTTTTTTTTTTCCCCTTACATTTTCGTTTTTTGCATGCAATGATTTCCAAATTTTGTTCACACTTTTGTCTTTTTTTTAGCAGTTATGTTTCAACTTGAATATTTAAATAMATTTTTTAACAAATAACCAGGGTTAAAACTGTGTAAAAAATTTTTAAACACTTTAAAAGGAAAAATTGATCTTAARATTTCATAGGCCATTGGTGGAGAAAAAAACTAAAGCTTGGTTTAAAATAGTTCCGAAAAAAGGAACAAAGTTTACGACAAAAATCAATCCAAAAAATCCCTGCATATGATTTTTAAGTTGATTGTATCTGATATATTAAAATSAAAGGCTTTACCTTCGTGGATAGGCAACCCGCTTTGCAGAGCATTGCTGTTAACTCCTCACGCGGAGAACAAACTCAACCGACTAAATTCCCAGACTAAAGCTGAACGCATAACTGAGATTTCAACATTTTAGTCGATTTTGTTTTGGAATTTTAGTGGTTGGAAAAGAGTATCAGCTGGGAATATGCGTTAAATATTTAAGACGATTATCGTCCTTGTCATCTTGGAATACTTYGGGGGTTGGGATGGCTCACTGATTGAAGAAGTTGATGGTGAAAGTGACATATTTGTTTGGGTCATGATGATCGCTTGTAAAAATCAATTTTATCATCGCAAAAAGGAACGAACTCAACTATACTGATTGAAATGTAAATACAGAGTAATAACCGCATTGATAATCGAATCAATCCATTACACATGTTTTACTTGAGCAACTAAAATAAAATAGTATAGTATATTAATATTCATTTGAGTTTTTTACACTTCAGACTCATTGAAATAAGGAAATATATAATATATAATATATAAGTAATATGTTTATATATAAATGTAGAATGGGATAGAGTAGAAGATATATAAAATATCAACAATGCTATCCCATATTTTCCTATATTTTTAAGTGTATATTCATTTTTGCATTTTTGGCGAAATTCAATTTTTTTTGTGCATTTATTGGTTTATTTATATACATACAACTTATAAATCTATGCTTCTTTGATATTGACCGATACGTCTTGTTAAAAACTCTCAATCAATGCACTTGACTTCTCAATAAAATATCAGATWCCATAAAGCTTTTAAGAAAGCGGTTAAGGTTATGACTAGCACTTAATTAACGTCCATTGAAAGATAAAGAGAATTAAAACGTATTGCTATTGATCAGAACCCTTTTCAAAATTATCATGCGAGGATGACTTGGAAACACAAAATAAATCGTACTTTATCTCGATGGAATTTGTGGTATCTCTTTTGTATTTCCATGTTAGCCTCGCATCTCAGATAATTTTGAGATGGGTTTATTGTGAGTAAAAAAGAAAACATTCTTGGTGGTAGATTTTGGCAGCCAACAATGGGATTGCTTTACAAAAAACTGACCAATAATCTAACATCAAACACCAATTTTAATTTATCAAAAATGACGTAATCAAACATGAACCAATCAGGACCAAGTAATGAAGTCTAACTAGATATCTAAGAAAAAAACTTAGATGTTATCAATAACCGCGGGAATAAAAGATTGTGATTGGCTGAGGTAAGATTCTGATTTTGCTCTCTCCTGATTGGCTAAAAGATATTTACCTTAAATTTTTGTTTACGTGGTACCGGTTAGCGTGTTCGCAGTGGTAAAATAGACATTGCTATCGATGTGGGTTTAAGCCTTTAGAGAACTAATTAAGCTTTTCGAAAACCAATATAGTAATCTTAAAAGTATCTATCATAAAGATCCAAGCAAGGAGTATTGAGTATTGGGCGTTTATCGTTGTCGACTTGAAGATCGTTATATAATTGATCTTAAAAAAATTGATATATCCATTATCTGAACTGCAATACTTTAGCGCCCGGTTGTACAAAGCCTGGATAGCGCCTATCCGGCTAATAAATCCTTATCCAGTGGATAAGTCGATGCTATTTTCCAATAAATTTATCCACTGGATAAGATTTATCCGTTGGATAGTGCTATCCAGGCTTCGTACAACCGGGCCCAGTTCAGGTTTCTTACTAGACTGTGTACGGCTGGTTCCAACCGCTGCCCCCTGAGTCATGCAGACTCAGCATGTAATGTGAGCAAAGTTTGTTGTATCTTTCACTTAATTTTGATTCGAGGATTTTTCTCCGGGTTCTAAGCTTTTCCGCGTTTTTCCGTACAACCTAAAACACCTAAATTTCAATTCAAGTAATTTGCTGTGGACATAGTTCAGCCCAGAGGGTGTTTCTGGATATCGATCCGTGAGCTTTGCCCTGACTTAGATCAGCCCAGAGTTTGTTTCAGATTGAAATCTAGATGTTAGCCGTGCCCTGACTTTGGTCAGCCTGTGATGTTGTTTGTCGAGGTATCGCCATGATTTTTTGAAGATAAAATCGTTGTGTTTCAGTCCCAAATATCGTATAATGCTTTTCAAATTAAGAAAAACGCGATAGCGGTACAGGTATTATAAAAAAGCAATAAAATGCCACGGCAGTGGTCATAGAGATTTCAGACTTTTTGGCTCTCGCCTAATAATTATAAATATTTTATAATTTTTTCTTGACTATTTTGTAAATAAGTTATAGCTCCAATAATCAATTTGGGTATCTGTAKTTGAAGTTCATAATTAGAGAAAACGAAAAATTGTATAACTTTTTCACACAATGCATTTTCACACAATGAGTATTTGGTTATTAGAGAGTTTTAGATTGACTTCCTTTTCTCCCCGCAAACGGTAAACGTGACCACGTTTTCATCGTTTTCCTGTATTTCACTTTACCTCTTGCAAACTTTCTCAACAAAGACAAATATTGTTTTGTTTTTCTACTACTTGGACTTTTTTGCGATTCTTTTTCAGTAATTTAAAATAATTTTTCACTGGTGAACGTAAATCTAAAACTCTCTATTAGCATATTTTTACGGCACTTTGCGACTTACAGAGGTTATGTGACACTAAAAAACAATTTTTTTAGTGGGTCAGTAAAGAAATAGCTACAGCCTCTTAATGGTGTAGCGGCAGCAAGA